GTTAAATAATTGACTGAGGTAGTTAAATAATTGACCGAGGTAGTTAAATACTTGACCTAGGTAGTTAAATACTTGACCGAGGTAGTTAAATACTTGAGAGTGGTAGTTAAATACTTGACCGTGGTGATAGTTAAATACTTGACCGTAGTGGTAGTTAAATACTTGACTGAGGTAGTTAAATACATGACCGAGGTAGTTAAATACTTGACCGTGGTGGTAGTTAAATACTTGACCTAGGTAGTTAAATACTTGACCGAGGTAGTTAAATACTTGACCGATGTAGTTAAATACTTGACCGAGGTAGTTAAATACTTGACCGAGTAGTTAAATACTTGACTGAGGTAGTTAAATACTTGACCGTGGTGGTAGTTAAATACTTGACCGTGGTGGTAGTTAAATACTTGAGAGTGGTAGTTAAATACTTGACCGTGGTGATAGTTAAATACTTGACCGTAGTGGTAGTTAAATACTTGACTGAGGTAGTTAAATACTTGACCGAGGTAGTTAAATACTTGAGAGTGGTAGTTAAATACTTGACCGAGTAGTTAAATACTTGACTATGGTGGTAATTAAATACTTGACCGTGGTAGTTAAATACTTGACCGAGGTAGTTAAATACTTGACTGAGGTAGTTAAATACTTGACCGTGGTAGTTAAAAACTTGACCAATATCGTTAAATACCACACTAGTACTTGACCGGGACGTACTTGCTCACCCTAGCATGTATCAACTTCAGGATCATGACTCCAGGGTTTCGCGTATGATCTTGATGATCGGGATTAGGGTCAGAATTAGTCCTAGGATTAAAATAAGTTTTAGGTTATTTATAGATTGAGTATCGGTTTCGGCGTGATATGCCACGCTATAAGAGGTTGCTGTATAATAGAGAGGACTCATGGAAGGACAGTATCAAAGAGTATTGTATGTGTGGTGTAGAGGACTCAGTAAAGGACAGAATATCAAAGAGTATTGTATGTGTGGTGTAGAGGACTCAGGGAAGGACAGTATCAAAGAGTATTGTATGTGTGGTGTAGAGGACTCAGGGAAGGACAGTGTCATTTTTGTAATGTTCTACAGTATCGCAGGAATGGTGTGTTAGTGGGAGTTATAACATCCCATATAAACCCCCCCCCCCTCCCAAAAATAAATGACAAGTGTCTCACTCAAAATGCGTCATATTATAATCAGTGGCGGCTTACAAGTACTCAAAATAAAAATAATAATGGAAAAACACAAATTACAATAAAAAGAAATAGGCCTACATGTTTTTAAATGACTTTACAAAATACATGCAAAGTTATTCAACAAGTAAGCGTTATATCTTGTTGATGGTTAAGCTATAAACTCGAAAACTTTTAAATACATGTCGCTTACGTGATTAAATTATTAATTATGAAAAATAGATGGAAACAGCAATTAAGTGACGGGTTATAAGTACCTGTTTGTAAACAGTGTTTCTTCCAGACTTTTTTCTCCGGGGGGGGGGGGCACTTGAAATTTTCGGGGGGGGGGGGGGGGGCGGTAAACTTTCTTCGGGGGGGGGGGGCGGACACTGTTAAAAGTATATATTTTCTATATAAATTATATAAATTTCATTTCGTTGGAGGGGGGGGGGGGCGGTAAAACATTTTCGGGGGGGGGGGGGGCTGAAGAGATGCCTGGAAGAAACTCTGTTTGTAAACAGGTCAGATTTACGCTAGATAGGTCACTTGTTGATTAAATAAAGCCGAACAGACTTTAGTTATCACTAACTCAGTTACTTAGTAAGTAAAACATCATCTATGTCACTAGCTTCGATTAATTTCGAATTTCACTTTTCAGTTTGTTAAATTAATATTTAAGTGTTATAGATCCGCTGGCTAATCGATTATTATTCCCTGCCCACCTCCTAGATATATTGTTCAGACACCGAATATAATTCAATTTTTATAATCGTGAGTTATTTCTTTTATAAAGGCAGTAATCTATTCACAATTATATAGCCTTGCTAAACCACTTGACACCAAGCCATTAACTGTGTAATAAAACTACTAGAAGATTAGTACGCTATTCTTTCAATGTTTCTAATTACATCGTTAATGTTTATTTTGCGATATATTTCATAGTGGGAGATGAAGAGTTAGTGCTGACCAGACAAACTTACGGCGGAAAATGTTGGAAATATTTCAAAGAGTAAATCGAGTCTTCTGTGTGGGAGAGAGCGAGCAAAAGAAGTACTCACGTTTTGCAAGTTCAAAGAAAGCGATATCCACACACTAAATGATTTTTAGAGAGAGAGGGCAAGAATTGGTGTTCAGATTTCTTTGGGAAATCTTGAGACATGTTTTTAAAAAACAAATCCGTTTACAAATGGATGATGTTTTGGGAACGTATATTTTGTGGGATGACCCGCTCGAAATTTCAAATTATCCCCCTATGGGATAGGGCAAGGGATAGGTATGGATTAGACAGTGTTTCTTTCAGACGTTTTATCCGGGGTTGGGGGGGGGGGCACTTACATTTCCGACGAGATGCCTGAAAGAAACTCTTGGGCTAGTGATTGAGTTAGGAGTCGGATTAGGTTAGTAAATGTCCTGACATTTGCTAATGTGTAGGCCTACTCATTCTTTCTGTCCATTTATGGCATTTTATAGAACCTCTTGGGTTCATACAAATAAAATGACGGGTGAAGTAGAGTTTATTTGTTACAAAAGACTTCGGCATACAGTGGGATAGAATGGCCCTTAACGTGAGTCAGGTACCCATCACAGCTGGGTGGACTCAGGGAGTCAACAGACTCGTGCCTCGAATCCAAACTCGAGACTTTCGACTTAGTTCTAAAATAATTTTATTATTGGTAAATATCTATTATTTATTAAATTTTTATTATTGGTAAATACCAATTATTTATTAAATATTTATTATTGGTAAATAGGGCCCTACCTATTATTTATTAAATTAATGACGGAATGTTAGAACCCGCTAGCGTCACACACCAAAGACGTGAGCCACACACCAACGACGTGAGCCACACACAAAAGACGTGAGCCACACACAAAAGACGTGAGCCACACACAAAAGACGTGAGCCACACACAAAAGACGTGAGCCACACACAAAAGACGTGAGCCACACACAAAAGACGTGAGCCACACACCAAAGACGTGAGCCACACACCAACGACGTGAGCCACACACCAAAGACGTGGGCCACACACCAAAGACGTGGGCCACACACCAATGAAGTGGGCCACACACCAAAGACGTGGGCCACACACCAAAGACGTGGGCCACACACCAAAGACGTGGGCCACACACCAATGAAGTGGGCCACACACAAAAGACGTGAGCCACACACAAAAGACGTGAGCCACACACAAAAGACGTGAGCCACACACAAAAGACGTGAGCCACACACAAAAGACGTGAGCCACACACAAAAGACGTGAGCCACACACAAAAGACGTGAGCCACACACAAAAGACGTGAGCCACACACAAAAGACGTGAGCCACACACAAAAGACGTGAGCCACACACAAAAGACGTGAGCCACACACAAAAGACGTGAGCCACACACAAAAGACGTGAGCCACACACAAAAGACGTGAGCCACACACAAAAGACGTGGGCCACACACCAAAGACGTGGGCCACACACCAATGAAGTGGGCCACACACAAAAGACGTGGGCCACACACCAAAGACGTGGGCCACACACCAATGAAGTGGGCCACACACCAATGACGTGGGCCACACACCAATGACGTGGGCCACACACCAAATACGTGGGCCACACACCAAAGACGTGGGCCACACACCAAAGACGTGGGCCACACACCAAAGACGTGGGCCACACACCAAATACGTGGGCCACACACCAAAGACGTGGGCCACACACCAATGCCGTGGGCCACACACCAAAGACGTGGGCCACACACCAAAGACGTGGGCCACACACCAAAGACGTGGGCCACACACCAAAGACGTGGGCCACACACCAAAGACGTGGGCCACACACCAAAGACGTGGGCCACACACCAATGACGTGGGCCACACACCAAAGATGTGGGCCACACACCAATGACGTGGGCCACACAACAATGACGTGGGCCACACACCAATGACGTGGGCCACACACCAATGACGTGGGCCACACGCCAATGACGTGGGCCACACACCAATGCCGTGGGCCACACACCAAAGACGTGGGCCACACACCAATGCCGTGGGCCACACACCAAAGACGTGGGCCACACACCAAAGACGTGGGCCACACACCAAAGACGTGGGCCACACACCAAATACGTGGGCCACACACCAAAGACGTGGGCCACACACCAAAGACGTGGGCCACACACCAAAGACGTGGGCCACACACCAAAGACGTGGGCCACACACCAAATACGTGGGCCACACACCAAAGACGTAGGCCACACACCAATGACGTGGGCCACACGTTAAATAAACTACGTTAAATCTAGCAGTAGAAAACACGTTAAATAAACTACGTTAAATCTAGCAGTAGAAAACACGTTAAATAAACTACGTTAAATCTAGCAGTAGAAAACACGTTAAATAAACTACGTTAAATCTAGCAGTAGAAAACACGTTAAATAAACTACGTTAAATCTAGCAGTAGAAAACACGTTAAATAAACTACGTTAAATCTAGCAGTAGAAGACACGTTAAATAAACTACGTTAAATCTAGCAGTAGAAAACACGTTAAATCAACTACGTTAAATCTCGCAGTAGAAAACACGTTAAATCAACTACGTTAAATCTAGCAAAGGAACAAACACATTAAATAAACCACGTTAAATTAGCATTAGCAAACACATTAAATAAACCACGTTTTAATAATCTGAGTGTTATATAACGTATGGTATTGGTGAAATTTTACTCCAAAAGTCATCTCTCACTCTCCCTTTCCCGGTAAAACTAACAAAGCTAAATTAAAAAAAAATTACTAAGTATCCCGATGCTTAAAATACTTGATAAACTCAAACAAGAAAAATACTTACAATGTTGAGGAAAAAGACAAAAGATCCAAAAAAATACAATTTCAGCTTTAAAAATTCCTGTTTCAGTCGCCAGCGGTTCGCTACCTCACAATGTCCAACTTTCTGTAGTCGCCAGCAGTTCGCTACCTCACAATGTCCAACTTTCTGGTCGTCCACGGCAGAATGACCGAGTGCAAGACGCTCCTGCTCTTATAAGAAAACCCTTGAGCCGCCCCGCCACTCCAGAGCCGCAGAAAACACGGCTCTCTCACGCACTCCAAGTTTAAGTCCTCGTCAGTCGCCTCAACACATCACTTAGAGCAGCTTGCAATCGCTCGTTGTTTCTTCTCGTCAATCGGAACTCTTTTGTCTGGGGTGGAATTCAGGGGAAATTTATTGACGCTCTAAACACGCGAGCATAATCGCGCGCTATCTAATAAAAATAAATTTCAGTAAAACAATTGAGAGGGAGGGGGGTGGTAAAGTAGGAAGGGTGTCACATTACGTTTTTTTTAAATTAATGGAGCTGTGATTAAGCAGAAACAAGAATTAATTTTTTTTAATGTTTCGGTTTCTAAAAAAAGAAATTGAACTTGAGGGTCGTCCATAAGCGGCGTCACAATCCTAATTGGAGAGGATTTGGACAGAGCCGGCGTTAGGGGGTGGCGAACGGGGCGGTCGCCATAGGCCCCGCGCTTGAAGGGGCCCCGCGCTTCAGCAATGTCATTGTTATCTGTATTAGTTCGTAAACTTAAAAAATGGTTACTGAATTCAATTGGGAAAAACTAAATGGTCGAATGCCGACGTTGTTGATTGTTATAACTGAGGCCATGGTGATGTTAGTGAGTTTTCACCCATCTCACTGAACTGGGACAGGCCGTAATTCTATACAAAAAACAGTGTCACACACCTCCCCTTTGTGTAGGGTACGGTCGCCTGACATTTGACCTGAGCTGACTGGAGATGGCGGTCGAGAATTAGCCCACGACGTAAAGAGATACCCTATTGTATGCGGACCCATGAAGACGTCCTTTTAGTGAGCAGACGGGATGTCTGTAGTAGACAGTTAGTGACCTGATGAACTCTAGTCCTGACTTTCTTGTTGTAGATGTCGTATAATGTCGTATATGTACAGTGTTTCTTCCAGACTTTTTTCTCCGGGGGGGGGGGGGGGCACTTGAAATTTTCGGGGGGAGGGGGCGGTAGACTTTCTTCGGGGGGGGGGGGGGGGGGGCGGACACTGTTAAAAAAATATATTTTCTATATAAATTATATAAATTTCATTTCGTTTTCGAAGAGATGCCTGGAAGAAACTCTATAAGTAGGCCTACTTGTCTTGGTATAACAAAATTAACATTCAGTTGCGTGCAGAGGGGTGGGAGGAGGGCGACGAGGAGGGAGGGGGGCTTAGGATCTATATCAGGCGGCATTAAACAGAGTGATTTATTATTATTTTTTGGAAGAAAGTTAAAACTGTTGTTATGTTGGGTAACCTTAAGGATTCACCCGTTCAAAAATTAAGACAATAATGATTTTGGTTTTAAAATATTGTATGAATTCTAAAAAAAAATTTGAAGTCTATACTGTTTTGATACATCAGGACGAGTTCGCTGTATTGTAAACTTTATTTTCCTAATTATTCGGCACGTGATTAAATTTTCTTAAGTGATTTGGTATGAATTACATAACTGTCAAAAGTGATTTAATATCTTAGCAAAGGAAAAACAAGTTAATTAAAAAGTCTAGTGACATTTAAGCGCAATTTCCTTATGTTATCTAAAAATAGCTCTGTCGTAGCGTAAATCAAGAGCAGGGTTAGTAAAACCATTGGTTAGTTATTAAAACATTTTTTATTAATTATTTTTTTCAGTATTTTACATGTTTTATTTACAATAGAGTTACATGACTAAAAATCATTGCGCGCCTAGCTACCGAACGTGATGTCGCAGCCATTGAACGTGATGGCGCAGCTATTGAACGTGATGACGCGTGTGGTGTGGTTGGATAAAAATGCCTACTAATTCGGTCCAAATTTTAATTAATTCAAAATTTTTTTTGTGACAGAACGAAAGGATATTTTTGAAACTTTCTTCGGCAATATTGTTCTAAATTATGGCAGGAATCGATTGGTACATGTTTCAAGTCGCTAAGTGGTCTGGTTGCCGAGATATGGGCCAAAAACTGCTTTTTTCGAGGTTTTTTGGCTTTTCCGGGAAATCAATGAAAGAAACCCGGAATTTTTATGGCCCATGTTCATACTCGTAACTTGCTTAACATAATTGCTTTTGGAACTAGTCCTCGATATTGCTTCGTTGAGGAGGAGATACGACTTAAAGCTGCGGACACACATTCATACATCCATTCATCCATCCAGAAATGACGGGTTAATAAACGCAATTCTCCAGAATGGAAATTGCGCTAAAAACTACGAACATTGGGTTAATACAGGGGTCTCCAAACTACGGCCCGCGGCCCTGATGCGGCCCGCGATGTCCTCTCATCCGGCCCGCGGAGATCCTTTTGTCCACGGAAAAACCGTTTGTTGGTGATGGCTGAGGAACTTTGCCCAGAAAAATTAAAGACATGCCTTGAAGAAACTGGCCCCCGAACTGAAATTCGATAGTCAATGCGGCCCTCGGACTGAAAAGTTTGGAGACCCCTGGGTTAATACATGGGATAGATAAAAATCTGTTATTATAGTGGAAAGTTTGACATTAGCTTATAAACTCCAAAACATTTGTTTTATTGTGTGTACATCACATTATATAGGCCTTTATATATATATATATATATATATATATATATATATATATATATATATATATATATATATATATATATATATATATATATATATATATATATATATATATATATATATATATATATATATATAATGGAAAGGCCCCGCGCGGATGGTTGGCCCTAGGCCCCGCGTATTCCTAACGCCGGCTCTGGATTTGGAACTTAATGAGAATATGTGACGAAGGGGGAGGGGGGAGGGGGGTGGAATGGGAGTCGACACACTTGAAAAACTCAATTTTAGCCAATTTTTTTTTCGAGTTTTTAATATTGAGTTTTTTTAAAGTATTTTTTTTTTAATTTTAAATTAAAAAGGATTAATATACTCGATGTTGACAGAGATAAGAAATTGTTTTATAAAGAAATTAATGTGTTAAAAAAAACCCCACTGAAGCTGCGAATTTGAGACAGGCTGTAGGTTGAGGTGTGACATCATCATTCAGGGGTGGTGGTGGGGTAGGGGGTTGGTGGGGCTGGCTTTTTGTTAGCATGAATAACGTTATTGGAAGGGGGAGTCGAAAGTGGTGACGTCATCTATAGTTGACCCTTACATTTTCAATAGAGTAACATATTTTAGATCGTCGGTAACGCTGTACTTGCTGTAACATATTTTAGATGGTGAGTAGCGTATTTAGAAAATGTTCCGTAAGCATTTCGCGCTACAATATAATCAGCCGTTAGACCAACGTGTTTGTGATGTTTGCTAGCGAGGGGAGGGGGGGGGGGCAGTGCGTTCAGTATTCAAGACCGGGTACCAATCGTGACCTACGGGTTAGCCGTGACCTACACCTTCAACCCCTACCCCTAAACGGGTCATGATAGGGATGCCAAAACTTGAGAAAAATAAAAATAATCGAGCCTAAAAATAACACGAGACACCATCAAATGTAAAAAAAAAAACACGAGTTTTAATAAGAAATACGGTTTTAAAAATACTTTACAGTCCTATATTTTCTGTACTTAATTTTATATTCTAAGTTGTAAAGATAAATCGCGCAGGCTTTGGGATCCGTTTATTTATTATTATTTTTTTGGATTAACAGCCGACTTCAGTTCAAATGTGGCTTCCTATGTGTCGATATGACTGGTCAACCTTGGTCGTTGGGGATTGATCTGGACTTTTTGACTTGGTCGATGGTGACGGTTAGTGACCGACTGTTTGGTCGATGGTGACGGTTAGTGACCGACTGGTTGGTCGATGGTGACGGTTAGTGACCGACTGGTTGGTCGATGGTGACGGTTAGTGACCGACTGGTTGGTCAATGGTGACGGTTAGTGACCGACTGGTTGGTCGATGGTGTCGGTTAGTGACCGACTGGTTGGTCAATGGTGACGGTTAGTGACCGACTGGTTGGTCAATGGTGACGGTTAGTGACCGACTGGTTGGTCAATGGTGACGGTTAGTGACCGACTGGTTGGTCGATGGTGTCGGTTAGTGACCGACTGGTTGGTCGATGGTGTAGGTTAGTGGTGTCGGTTAGTGGTGTCGGTTAGTGGTGTCGGTTAGTGACCGACTGGTTGGTCAATGGTGACTGTTAGTGACCGACTGGTTGGTCAATGGTGACGGTTAGTGACCGACTGGTTGGTCAATGGTGTAGGTTAGTGGTGTCGGTTAGTGACCGACTAGTTGGTCGATGGTGACGGTTAGTTGACGACTGGTTGGTCGATGGTGACGGTTAGTGACCGACTGGTTGGTCGATGGTGACGGTTAGTGACCGACTGGTTTGACGATGGTGACGGTTAATGGTGTCGGTTAGTGGTGTCGGTTAGTGGTGTCGGGTAGTGACCGACTGGTTTGACGATGGTGTAGGTTAGTGGAAGGGGCGTCTCTATGAGGACCGTTCTCCTTCATTGAACACGTCAACACATCATATATCTTTCCTAACACATCAACACATCATATATCTTGCCTAATACATCAACACATCATATTTCTTGTCTAACACATCAACACATCATATATCTTGTCTAATACATCAACACATCTTATATCTTGCCTAACACATCAACACATCATATATCTTGCCTAATACATCAACACATCATATATCTTGCCTAACACATCAACACATCATATATCTTGCCTAATACATCAACACATCATATATCTTGCCTAATACATCAACACATCATATATCTTGCTTAACACGTCAACACATCCTATTAAATCAGATAGCTATTTAAAGTAATTTTTTACTTACTACACAAATGTAATAAAAATATTTAATTTTTGTTGAAAAATATGTTTTCTGGCAACACAAATTTTGAACCATTTGGAACCAGCTTTTCAAGTCTATCGTAAGAATTTTAATTTTTGTAAAATAAAACTAAAATCAAATTTTAAACTTTATTCCTGCCACCAATTGTATAAGAGGCGTAGTGATGTAAGTGGGGGGGGGGGGGTACAGATGTCAATGGGCGCCGAACTTAAGGGGCGCCAAAATAGGTTGGAGAAACAAATTAAAATCTCTTTTTAGCTGCATTTTTGCATTAAATATAAAAAATATATGGGGGGGGGGGGGTGCAATTTGATAGT